GGAGGTCAGGGATTGCATTGTAAGCACACAGTGATCTGGTAACAAAGCCTGACAGGAGAGATGTCACAAGACTCCTGTGATTCCCCAGCCGTGGTGTGATTGGCAGCAAGTCACACCACTCTGCCTTTCACAGCCTTTCAAAATATGCCAGCTTCTTAAACCAGTTCATCAGCTTCCACAGTTCTTCCCGCCAACCCACATCGCACACGACCCGCCAAAGAGCAGTCCGTTCTCAAAGGACAGCACAAAAAAGGGCCAGTGAGTCCATGAACCTAGGGGCAAGTCATAATTATTATTCTTATAAACTTAAAAGTGAACTTGAGATAAATGGACATTAATAGGCATTTATTTATAATGAGCAAGGATTGAGTAATAGCGTAAGTAGACTTGGAAGACTCCTATTCTAGGAGCTAAAAGGATGGTTCTTGGCCTTTTTATTGTCATAGCACAATGTCAAACAGCAGAGTGTTGAGAAAACAATTGAAGAGGTTAAGACTCAAGAAAACACTGAATAAATGTTTAAATGAGTGCAACCTAAAAGCTCCTGGGTGTAACCTACAGCCAGTCTGAAGAGTGCCTGTGATGACCTGGAAGCCTGATTCACCACATCACTCATCTTTGGGCACCCAAGCTCTGCTTGCAGGCAAGAGTTGATGCCCTTGCAGGGGTCAATTATATAATCCGAGAGTTCTGTCATCACCATCCTGTACATTTCTCTCTGGTAAGGGTTTGACTTAGGTTACACAATCTTTCCTGCAGTAAATCATCTGTACCATGTTCCGCAAACAACTGAAGTCCAAGTCTGTTGGACAGACTGCCTGGCAGCAGAGTATTCAGCTTGCACACTGATCCAAATCAGGCAGCCGATTTCCAGACAGGGCAAAGTGCTGAACCCCTTACTTATTATTTCAAACATTCCATTCCACAGTCATCAAGCATACTGCTTCTGGGATAAGGAAAAGACCTGATTAAATTTGTACAAAGTTAAGAAATAAGATTCTTAACAAATAATGGGGGGCCAGGGATTTAGCTCAGTGGCTCTGCCACCTGCTTCACAAGCGCAAGGACCCGAGTTCGATCCCTGGCATCAAAAAAAAAAACAAAAAAAAACAAATAATGGAAGCATCATCATAAAGGGTCTCAAATACTATTATTAAATGAAACCATTCATTTATTAGTAAATTTGTTCATTCAATAAATATTTATTGAACATCTTCTGTATACTGGGTTCTTTACTAATTAAGAGAGAAAGCACTGTAAGAACAATTGCTTCCCTGTGGAGCTTACTTTCCAGTAGAGGAGACAGATAATAACCAAAAACAATTTAGAAACTAAACATATCGTGAGTCAGGGTTGGTGTAGTCAGTGTAGAGGAACTGAGAGTATGAGGAGAGGGGCTGGGAGCTGTTAGGTACAACATGGTCTGGGAATGACTCGCTGCTAGGGTGCAATCGAGAAAAGGATGGAAGGAAGGAAGAGAACGTGGGCTGCAGAATCCCAGGGGGACACTGTTCCAGGCAGAGGTGACAGGAAGTGAAAGGTCCTGAGGCAGAAGCATACTTAAATCACCACCAGTGGTCAGTGTGGCTACAGGCAGGTGTATGAGAGGGGATAGCAAGAAGTGTTGGGGGTTGGAAGACGCAAAAAGCCATGTAGGACCTGTAAAGGCTTTGACTTCTACTCCTCCTGAACTGAGAAACCGATGGAAAGTTTCCACCAGAGAGGTGATATCTAGATGGCCCCTTACTTACCATGGCTTGACTTAATGATTTTTCAACTTCACGATGGCATAAAAGCCATACACCTTCAATGGAAATCATGTTTCAAACTTGTAATTTTGACCTTTCCCCTGTGTAGCAACATGTGGTAGGAGACTCTCTCAGGATGCTGTATGGCAGCAGTACGCTGTAGCTCCTGGGCAGCCAGGCACTTAGTAGGGTAAACTGATACCTACAGCACACTGTGTTGCTGTGTTGTTCCATTTTTTATGTGTATTGTATGCATTTTTTACTTATATTTTCAACTTGCAACAGATTTATCAGGATGTACTCTACTATGAGTGGAAGAACATCTATATTCGAACTTGTTTATAAAACGATAGCTTCTGGGAGGACAGAGACCCAGAGGGAGAAGAGATGATGGTGGTTTTTGAACCAGGGTGTTAGGTGTAGGAGAGATGAGAAACAGTTGAAGTCTAGATATATTCTGAAAGTAAATTTGAAATAATTTGCTAATGGATTAGATGTGAGATGTGAAAGAAAGATACAAATCAAAGATAACTCCAAGGCACTTAGCCTGGGAATTGGAAAAGTGGCATTCCCTTTGCTTGTAATGTAGAATACTACAAGAGGAATGGGTATAGAATAAAAATAAGAAGTGTGATTTTGGAAAGCATTAGATTAGCATCCCATTCTGTCCACAACAGCAGTCACAAACTACACATGGGTATTTACAGTGCATTTTAATTAATTAAAATAAATAAAATGAGAAATTCAGTTCCTCTGGTGCACTGCAAGTGTCAAGTGATCAGTCCCCAGCCACATGTGGCTAGTGGCTACCCCAGTGGACACTGCAGGTATCATAGTGTATGTCTACCATCGTCAGCACAGAAAATTCTATTAGCTGTGCTGGTGGGACTTTAGGTCTTTACATTCTGGGCCCTGTAATTAAGGGCTTTACATACATTTTCTTGTTAATATTTAAAAAGACTCCATGAGTCAAGTAATGTTATATCCGCTGACAAAGAATATCACTAGAGTTCAGAAAAGCTAAGCAGCATGCCTTAAATCATGTAATTACCAAAGAACAGCAAGCAAGGGGTAGGTGCTAGGCTGTCTACCTTCAAAGCCTAAGCACCACAGATTAGATTTAAGAAAGATTGAACTAGTTTGCAATGAGACACTCATAAAAAAAATGTTTAGTAGGTTTTTTAATCTTTTAGTATGTTTGAAACATCTAGTAGGTTATTGGCAGCAAAGCATTGAAGTGTAGGACAGAAATCAGATCTGACAGGTTTAGGGTAAATATGAATCTCTCAGGAGATCCTGTGTGTTGTAGAAGTAAACATAATATATTCCAGCATACTACCAGCTAAGAGGAAATACAAATACTCAATGAAGGCACTGGTGTTAGGTCTTTTAATAAAGAGGCATCATGAAAGGACAGATAATAGAAAAAGTTTGACACTTGGTAGCATAAAATTAGGATACTCTTGTTCCATCCTGTGGTTTTCAACTTGGTATATGGTACCCTTCCCTTAGAGGACATTTGGAAATATATGGAGTATTTAGGGTAGAATGGTGAGTGCCATGGGCATTTTGTGGCCATGTTCTTGGGGTAAGAGTCCAGTGATGCTTGCCACAATCCTATACCAAAATGTCAGCAACTAGGCCAAATAAGAAATGTTGGCCTACTGTTCCTCAACCAATACTCACACCTGAAGCAATACGGGCATTAGAACATGGTAGGTCGTGGCATAGGTTGAATGGTCAGATAAACTGCTGTTCCTATCTGTCTTATGACTTGTACTTGCTGCTTGGCTTGGGACCGTTACCTAAACTGAGCCTGTTTCCTCATTTATATAATGAGGAAAAGCATAGTTAATATACATCATCTAGGATGGTTCAGAGAATTAAAAAATATTTCAAAGACTTGGTTCAATGTTTGAATCAGGGAAGAATGTCAAATAAACATTATTAGAAGCAGAGAAGGTGGGGGGAACCCTAGCATTATTAGAAGCAGAGAAGGTGGGGGGAACCCCAACCTCTAAAAACAGCAAGATGGTAATTCATATAGAAAGGGAGTCTAAAACAGTATTGTCCAATCAAATAATATGGATGCGAAAATACAAGCACACGAAATTTCTCAATTTTCTCCTAGCCATACTTAAAAAGATTAGAAAAAGGTAAAATCTTATTAGCATATAATTAGGTAATGAATTATACTCAAAAATTTTACTTTACTATGTAAACAATATAAAAAATCATTGAGGCATTTTTTTCATACCAAGTCTTTGCAATGTCATACATACTTCTCAATCCAGAATAGCCACATTTCCAGGGCACCACAGGCACGTGGGCTCGTGGCTCCACACTGGAGAGCACAGGGTGACAACATCAGCAAGAGACCCTCACTGACTGCCAGTTCTGGGTTATTCTTATGAGAAGATTCTTACCAGTTAACATCCAGCACATGGAGGGTGGTTTTAGACAAGTCTCAGTGAGCACATTCAGAGACTTTAGTCTCAGGGTCTCTGTACAAGCTAAAAAGAGGCACTGTTGTGGAATGATTAAATACATTGAGTGGTCATAGCAAGGCACAATTTCACAATCCAACTCCACTACTTCCTGTGTCCTTGAACAAGACGGCTAACCAAATACCTGTTCTCTTATTTGCAGATAGAGATAACAGGGTCAGCCCCTCTAACATTGCTCTGAGGATCACGTACACAAAGTGTTAGCCCAGTGCCTACATCTATTTCTCAAGTGTGGATGAATATTTGTATTTGGGTCTGAGAAATAGAACAGAGGTTTTGTTTCTCCTGTTGTTTTGTAAGATTGGGATTTTTCGTTGCAGCATTCCTAAACAGCTGTTATAAGCATGCCATTTGAAGTCTGACTTAGTCAATATGGTTAATTTAATCTTGATTCTAATATTTAAATTATAAAGTATGTGTAGCTATATTTCAATGAGAAATCTCTACCAAAAATGTAAAAATCTTGATTGCCACAACGTTCACATACTACAGAGCCATGATGGCAAACCTTTTACAGCTTTCAGTGATACAAGCAGCCCATTGAGGCACGTGTACCATAGGTTCACCACCATTGCTATAGAGCAAACTTAAATGATTGGTACTCTATTTGCTGCAAAAGTCGCTCTACATATAAATCACTAGGATATAATTTTAATATAGCAGCCTCAAGACTACATAGAATTTATTAAATTCCTAATTATTTAAATGTATCACTAATTTCCTAAAACATTAAAGAATACAAGGCTTATTAGCATAAACACATTTATTTATTTACTAACAAAGAGATGATCTTGGTTAAAACAACACTCTGAAATAGATGTGATAAAGGTAAGTGACCAAAGTAATGAAAAAAAGTCTGGAGATTAGCTCATTGAACTGAGCTTATTCATTCTCAAAGCTAATTCCTGTCCAAAGTGATGATGGAATATTTATTCAACTTTTTCATAGACCCGAGTACAGGTGATATTGTTCATGACACACTCCTAGGAGAAAGAAAGATATTAGAGTTAGAGTTGTCTCACATTCCAGAGCACTGGTAATTAAGTAATACAATGTTAGGATCGGAATCTTACAAAACCTTGTAATCTATTCCACAGATGGAGAAAACATGTTTTAGGATCCTGGGTTTGAGATAAGCTAGATCCTACCATTTTGCTGAAAACCAAAGCGCTGCAGATAAAATTTAAATTACTTATTTGGTCTTGGCAAAATTATTTCTCGTTTTAAAGAAATGTAAAAAATGTACATATGCCCAAGACAGCAGCTTGTAGCCTTCCAAGATTACAGGGCAGTGCAGGAGCTCAGTAAGGACAAAGCCCAGCTCCTGCTACATTAGCAAGGGCTGCTTTGTGAATGAATGTTCTTGTATTTAATTTTTATTCTGCATTTTTTCCTTCCCAAACTTAGCTCTCCTGTTCATAATCAATGATAGAGAACAGCTATGGAACTATGAATGCAGGCAAGAAGCCCAGTAAGACAGAAGCAGTTTGACACTCACCACGACTAACTTCCCATCTTTCAATTTTCTGGTTATTGTGCTTTCCTTCCCATCCCACTCCTGGTGCTGAACCAATTCGCCATCTGTAAAGTTGCAGACCGTCTGCAAAAACAAAGTATACTTCTAACTTTCCAAAGGACATCACAAGCATTTCCATGGCTCATAACCTCCTTAATCAACATTTTTTTCCATCCTCTCTTTTCTAGGTCTACTTTGTCAACACAAAGTAGTTTGTGCTTTTCAATCTAGAAGCTCAAAAAAGACATTTACTCTATGAAGCAGGTCCTTTTATTAGTTTGTCAAAACTCAACTCAGGAAATAATTTTTTCTTTCAGTTTTTGACTATAGACAGTAAAAATGTTATACAATCTATCATTCTAAAAGCTTCAGTGATTTCACAACATGGTATGGCTGACCTGAGTTTTTCGGCCATCAGCTGTAGTTTCTTCAAACTTCTCTCCCAGGTTACAAGCAAACTGTGTTGTCTTCAGAGTGCTCTCGGTTTTAACGGTGAGGTGGTTGCCATCACAAGTGATGACACAATCGGGCTTAGCCACTGCACCCAGTTTTCGCATAGCTACTCCCACTCCTGTGGAATGGTGCATCACGTTAAACGACAGAAGACTAAGACTTACACATCACTACGCCTGGCATAGTTTCACTTATTTGCATATTTATGCATATTGATTAATATTAGCCTCAACAATCCTGAGCCAGGTGGATATTGCTATCTCCACTGGAGATGAGAATGGGAGGCGCTGAAGTAACTGACTCAAGTTCATGCCGCTAGGAATCAACAGCACAGACAACAGGGCTTTGATGGCCTTGAGGAAGTCAGGGAAGCTTCTCTTCCTGACTTCATTTACTCAAAGCAATTGATAGAAGCTGAAGATAAGGGTGCAAAGTTGCAAACTCAGGAGCTAGCTCAGTCTTCTTCTATACACTGGATTCTGCCAACCATTGTATTCTAACTCTGGCACATAAGCTGACACATAGAAAGCCCCTGATAAATAATTAACGGGCTACACAAAATAAAAACCAATCCCTATTGTGCTAGATATTCAAATAGCACACTGTTTTGAGTTTGTAGCACAATCCTGATGTTAATAAATGGAAACATTCTTACCCTGGAAAAGAAAATATTTCAAAGCTCCATAATATTCTTTTTGTTTGTTTGTTTGTTTTTGAGACAAGGTTTATAGCCTTAAAGTCAGTATGTAGCCCATACTGGCATCAAACTCACAGTAATCCTTCTGCCTCAGCCTCCTGGGTGCTGGGATTACAGGTATGCGCTACCCCACTCAACTACTACTTTGTATTTTTCTGGGTAAGATTTTTTTCCCACTTACTATCACCGTGATTGTACTCAAAACATAATCTATCTACATACCTCAAGGTTGACTTTTAGTTTTCTGCAGCCTATTTCTTACTATTGCAAACAGCTATGAAATTTCACATTATTAAATTACATATTAATTTATAATCGGTGTATTTCCCCTTTATGTCAACATTCATAAGGGACCTCAGATCCAAGGTCAACCCATGTTACAAACGAGACAACAGCCTACAGCAGGACTGTCCTGGTCACAACGCTCAGCAGGCTTTCAGTGTTCCCTTGGGGCCTTCTCTCTTGCCAGCTGAGAAGGCCTTGTTAGTTGACTCATTATTTACTCTCACTCTGGACAAATAAATGGGTTCTTTCCATACGTTGATTGTTCCTTAAGAGTTGAGCATAGACAACCTTCATGATTCCAGAACTCTTGAATCAAGCCATCCTAAGCACACATTTGCTCTCAGTGGGAAGAGAAACTGTTCTCTACCTAGTCCTCACACCTGTGCCCCTATACAAATCGTATGTCTTGGATGAGTGCAATAAACAGCTTTTTTCAGAGCCATCTTTGTCAGTGAAAAAAGACAAATACTGTATTTTTGTTCTACTGGGCAAAAGGTAATACACTCATAATTCACCACATGCCAGCCTTAACCCCATTGTCTTGGATAAAGGCTAGTGGAGGAGGGACTCTGAAGTATCCAGTGACAAGGTCTCAGTGGAGGGTCATTTAGTGACCACCGGAGAGCAGTCAGGTTAACCTCTCTGGGATGCCAGCTTCTGAAATGGCCTTCTCATCCTAGCAGTCCCGCAGGGGTGGAAACCCCCTTGCAGAGAGGATCCACGCTATGCTAACTTCATCTCACTTTCTAGAGGCTTGTGCCAAACGTCTATTCTTGTTTGTTATCTGTCTAATGTCTCATCCAGCATGTAACCGCTGTACCGGTTTAGGAAAAGACAGCAGTAGGACATGAACCACCATTTAAATTAAGAAAAAGAACCTATATCTTCCTAGAGACTCTCTTGGAAGCCTTTAAGAAGTCAAAGGCTTTCTGCAGCACCACACCCATCTTGCAGTCGTTAGGAGCCGCTGGCCAGCAGCATGTGACTAGTTTTTCATCCAGGCCCACTGTTTCCTTGCCCCTCACCCTCCAGTCTCAGAGGAAAGAAGAGCAGCACAGAGACAGCAGATAACCCCAGTCAGGGTCCGTCTGGTTGCTCTCCTCACAGCCCCAACTGCCACTGGGGCGCCAGACTGGGCAGTGCCAGCAGGTGGTCAGCGCTGTCAGCACCAGGCTGGGCCGAGAAGCCCCGGGAGTGCAAGGCCTGGCTCACCCAGTGAGAGCGGGCAAGAGGCCTGTGGGGGCCGAAGTTGTAGCCCATTCAGCACTACAGGAGACCTCACCCAGCCACGTCCTCGTCCTCGTGGAGACCGGGAGGGGGCCTTGCGCGTCAGTGAGGGACAAAAGATAGGGCAGGTAGGAAAGGGGAGTGGGCGCTGCCGCGATGGGTCAGGTCGGAGAGACAGGACGGCGCCACTGGGGAATGGGAGGGGTGGCGGTGGGGGAAGTTAAGGGGGCTACGCAGATGGAGTAGGAAGAATTCGGCTCGGGCGAGGCGAGGGTGGGCTCGCTAAGGGCGGAAGCCGTGCGGCCGGCTGCGTCCTCCAGGAGGGTAAGTCGAAGAGCTGGGAGGACCCGGAGGAGGAACATCCCCGGTCTCGAGGCGGGAGGCGCGCGCGCTTTGCTCCCGCTCCCCCGGCCACTGCCGCGTGGTGCCGCGCCGCGCTGCACCCAGGGACCACACGGTGCAGAGACGAAGGGAGGAGGGACCCGGGCGCCCGGAGCCGGCATCTCCACCGCGCTCACCCGGGATCCCAGCACGCTGTCTGGGGCCTAGGGACAAAAGGGCCTCAGGCGTGCCACGTTGCTGGAGCTGCCGGGCCAGGTGCCTCACCTAGCTCTTTCATGTAGTCTTCAAAGCCTTTGCTGTCCACCAGACGCCATCTTCCTGCCAGCTGCTGAATGGTGGCCATGGTGGGTGCGGGCGGGCGGGCGGGTACAAGGACTAGAGCGGTTCTTCGCGGACAGCGGAGGTGCTTCTCCGCCGCCTCGCTACTCTATAAAGGCCGGCCAGCCAATAGGAGGCGCCCGCCCGACCCCGACCCCGCCCCTTCCCCGCCCCCCGCCCCTACCCAGTCCTGCGGCCAGACTAGCGGGGTCCGGAGGTGTGGTGCGAACCCGTTCCTCCTGCCAGGTCTCCTCCGGTGCCTCCGGCAAGCTTGGACTCGCCCGGCGCGCCCCAAGTCGCCCAGAACGCCAGCCGCTGCACGACCCGGCGCCTCCGCGCGCCGGGGAGACCTGAGAGAATCACCCGGGGACCGGCCTATGTCGCACTGCTGGACCGCCCAGCCAGCCCTCTTTCCTTGCCGAATTCCTAGAGAAATCCATTGGCTATCTCTAGGCACACTCTGAAAGAACTGATTGATCTGCTGTTTGGTGCGTTGTTTGGCCTTGTTTGAATGATAAATCGCTTTGCCTCCTTTTTTTTTTTTTTTTTTTTGGCCATCCCTGGGGACTGAACCCAACGCCCTTCCCAGTGAGCTACATCCTAACCCCCCGCTTTTTAAAAAAAATTTTGAAACAGGATATCACTAAATCGCTGAATTGCCCAGACTGAGCTCGAACTTGTGGTTTCCCCTCTGGGGTTACAAACCTGTGCCACCACCCTGGCTTCCCACACCCTCTTGAAAGAACCTGCCCTCCCCACGCTCAGGTCACCCATTCCTCGGTAGGGCTTCCAGATGAGTGAGTGTAGAGCAGAGCCAAGCTAGACGATTTTATCTGAAGCTGCTAGATGAGACGGAGATAACTCAGGAAATTCGGTTTCTAAACTAAAATTATGTAGGAAGTTTCGGTTCAAGTGACTATAAATGACATTCAAAAACGTCAGAGTCCTTTATATTCCCTTATAGGGAAGTGAAAAATTGCTTACCTTCACCCTTTTAGGTTCTTTGGCTGCCCACGAGTAAAATTAACATAAAACACGTTAAAGGAAAAAATTTAATCACGTTGATATGCACAGGAGTCCCACAAAATACTAAGCTTCAAGAAGGGTCAGGTAATTGAAGTTCAGATAGCAACCTGAGTATAGAAAACGGGTTTAGGGCATGTGGGGTAGTGGAGACACAAGGTATGGAAGGGTGCCAGGAAGACAGATGTGGTGACTAAAGGTTATCTTGTTACGCAGATTAAGACGTAGAGAATGAAAGCTGTTAATGAAAGCATATTCATACAGCCATTCTATTTTTCATTTTCAGCAGAGTATTTAATAAATTACATGAGATAGTCCAGACTGTTGTCTAGTTGGCTTTGTATTAGAGGACTTTGCCCATCTGAGAGCTGATGTAATTTTCTGAGCATGTTTAAGGTAGACAAGGCTAAGCTAGGATGTTCTGTAGGTTAGATTATTAAATGCGTTTTTAACTTATCAGATTTTCAGTTTATGATGACTTGTTCCAGGAGTAACCCTATCCTAATTCAAGGAACATCTGTACTTTAATAGTGTAGATTTCCTTTACATATGTAAGTTTCTTTTACAAAAGAACAGCTTTTCAAATTACTCCTATACCTGCAATTTCTCGGAGAAACCAGCTTAAATATGCCAAAGAACTATATTTTGGGTGGCACATATTGGTTTCCTAGAGTCATATTGTGGGGTGTTGTGTCCTGAACCCCAGTACCCCTCTGATTGAGCCCTTCAGGCTCTCAGCCTCCTGTTTGTGTATTCAGGCTCTAGAGAGTTTCCTTTCTACTTCCAGCCCTCATGGTATTCTATACTTGTGTGTAAACGTTATACTTTTCACGGTATCTTACTCTGTGCTCCTGGGCACTGTGAGATGGGGTGAATGAGGAAGTAGCCACACAGGCTGGCTGTTTTCGTGGAGATAGCAGTTTATTGAGTAGCTTTTACATGTTAGATTCTGTGTTTCCAGGTGCTTCTACCCATTAACACTAATCCCCGCTAAACATTCACTAAGGAGTGTTATCCCAATTTTTCAGAAGAAATGAAGTTAAGGAAAGTTTGTACAGTGGTGGAACTGGAATCTCCATCAGGCCCTTCTCACACAATACCTTGTGAAATAGGACCACACCTGACTGCCTTTTGTTTACTGTCCTTGTGATAGAGCTGAGAGCAGAGGCCACAGTCACCATGCCAAGACAGTGTTGTATCATCCTTAAACACTACTGAAATCTGAGGCTGGTTTGCCAGCGCCCCTCGTGCCACAGGACAGTTCCTCCCCCACACTGCGTCCCTCTTATTGCAAGTCCCTGCCCTAATGTTAGGATCACCCCAGTCTTCTTTATGGTGGCATTTACATATTGAGTTAATCAGGCCATGTGGTTGTCCCAGTAAGGGCCTGCCTGTCCCACACCTGAGACTCTCCTACCCAGAAGACATCCTGAGGAAGCTCAGTGGATTCTGGGATTGGTGCTGAGAGCTCTGGCTTCCTGGCACTGAGGTAGCTCCCAGAGAGGCAGCTCCTGTATGCTTGGGCTCCAGCTATTAGTGGACTGCTTCAACATATTACATTCTCTTCCATATCAACATGGTAATACACTACTAGCCAGGATTCAGTACTGGTTACAAATTTTTAGCTCATCAAAGTCAGCCATGTTACAGAAATACAATAGGAGGGCATCATTAGAGTACTGGTTACTGGTACTTAAGAAATAGCTTTTAACCCTGAGGCATTACTGAAACAACTTTTACACATAGTCTCTGCTGTGATGAGCAGAAATGTGGTTAAATGTATCTTAGAAAAGTATAAAGCCAAAATACCTGTTAATTGTCTCCTGTGAGCAAAGAGGGCTACAGATATTGCCCTACCATTCTAGAAATACATTTAATGCCTTTTATCCAGATGCCTCATCTTATGATCTGGAGTGTGTGTACACACACACACACACACACACACACACACACACACACATCACCATTACCATCCGTTTCATTCTATCCTGTTTTATAAACATTAATATAATAACGTTTACAAACATTAATTAACTGCCACTCATTCTTTTCACCACATAGGTAATATAGGTGCCCCATTACCATTATTTTTAAGAAAGAAAGAGATTCTGAATGCAAGAGTTTAAGGGCATCAGAAATAACCCACTCCAGTACACATAGAAAGATGAATAAATAACCTATTCCAGTCATATATAGATAGATGAACATAGAGATAAAGATATGGATATACAGAAATTATTTTTCAAGCTCTGAAACGCATTAAGTACTCTCTTGCTTACCCTGTTAACTAAACTCCTGCTCTGGCTTACTTAACTTGAACCAAATTTGAAGTATAAAAACCAAAATTATTATAAAAATAAATCTAATTGAAGTCTCATATGTCTTTATGGAGATTATTTCTTCACTGGAAAAATAGAGGGGAATTCTCACCTGATCATGATCAATTACAGACTAGGAACAATGAATGACAGTTTTACCCTAGCGTACTTTTACAAATATTAGTAACTAATAACAAATTAGTATAAGTATCAAGCATTACTAACTATTTTGGTAACAGCACATAGATAATACTCCCCTCATGCCGGAAGATAATACCACATTATTCTTATCCATGAAAATGACTGAAGAATCAAGAATTACCAGCAGCTCTTCCTCCAGTATCTTTATATTTTATAAAATGGATGCAATTTTATTGAATTACTGCACCTCAGTTTTATTATCTATGAAGTTAAGGAGATAAGAATTAGATGAACTGATTTCTTCAATGCTTTTCAGTTTATGAAATACTCTGGCAGTAGTAGTTCACGGAACTGAAAAAATGTACTCAAAATTACTCTATTTCCACCTAGTGGTGAAAACGTAACATTTCTCAGATCTCTTTAATAAATTGTCAGTTTCGCATGCCACAATCATACACATAGCTTTGGGTCACATTGTATAATTTTATTTAAGGACAACCTCCCAGTTACAATTTATGTAGACAGATGTCCACAAAGTTGATTTTAGTATATAATCTTTCCTAAAGACAGCAAGCGCTGGTGGCCTAAAAGCAGAAAAACGATAAAAAGGAAGACAACATCACTTGAATAAATTATTACAGAGAATAATCAAAGTAATTCATGTTCAGATAGTTAATTCTTCTCTATTTGACCAAATTAATCAAAAGGGGGGGACACAGAGAGATCACTAGAAAGTGGTACATCTGAAATTTTTAGCCTGCCAACAAATCACCTGAGGATCTTGTTTAACTCCATGGTTGGATCCAAAAGGTCTAGAGTGTGACGTGAAACTATGCATTTCTAACACACCCCCAGGTGGTATCAGTGCTATGGGTCTAAGGACCATGCTTTGAATAGCAAGGTTATAAAATGTACAAGATTTTGCTGGGGATTTAGCTCAGTGGTTCTGCCACCTGCCTCACAAGCACAAGGTCCCAAGTTCAATTCCCAGTACCCCCCCCAAAAAATTATATATATATATATATATATATATATATATATATCTCCACACATGACCTGGTCACAAAGAAGTAACTCTCATTTCAGTGTGTAAGTATTTCTATTACATACCAATGAAATATTTTCTCATTATATACTTGTACAAAAATACATGGTCATCCCACTCTATCCATGCATTCTGCACCTGCAGGTTTTACCAACTTCAGATAAAAAATATTTGGGAAAGATTGTGTCGATACTGAGCAAACTTTTTTTCCTGTCATTATTTCCTGAACGATACAGCATAGCAATTTTTTAGACAGCATTTACATTGTATTAGGTATTGTAAGTAATCTAGATATGTGTACAAGTATATGGGAGCACATGTAGGTTATATGCAAGTGCCAAACATGGCAATTTCATGCAGAAACTGGGAGGTTGGGTGCTTGTTACCCTTGAGGGCAACCATGATTTTGGTGAGTCTATTTTAGAAAGTGAGACAAAAAATATTTGTGCTACAAATCCCAAGTCTTGCAACTAACAACACGTAGTTTATACCTCCTACTAAACTACCAAATATTGACCTCAAATTGGGTTTTCCTACTCAACAATCAGAATAGAGAAAGTCCCCCA